TGCTCAAACTGTTCCGGATGATACGGATTCTTGGTCAGCATCTCGTTGATGGAGCGCTCATAGAGAGCCGTATAAAGGCGCAAGTCCATGTTGGTATGATCCTGCCGGAATGGGTTTAAGCCACAATTCGTTTTTTATAAGTAAAGTACATTTAAATTTGAATAGAGAAGGATTAGTTATCTTTGCGTTGGTCGATGATTGAAACCCTTGCAGCCGAAAAGAAATGCTTGATATAACAATATTATGATATACAGATCTTAACTATAAAAAAAGCTCAGTATATCACAAATAGTTCTTTTTATTCAATAACAACTGAATTTTCGATGGAATGTTCCTATAGGAGCTATATCCTAATAAGATTTTGATCGAATGTTAGAAGCCTAATAAAGCTGAAGTTCGTAGTTTAAGAGTTTGGTTAAGATATCTTGAAAAACAGATAGAATTTCTATATAAAAACCCTGCTCTTTTGATCAAAAGAACCTATATATGATAAAGAGATCTAATCTAATCTAATCATCGCAGCTGAATCAAGTATTATTGAAAGCGGAGTTTACATTGATAATGAATAATAATTATAATGCATAAGTTCACATTAATATTCATGGGGGATCCCAGATGTTCCTATCAATGCGTGGCAAAATTCAACGGCTGCAAGGGCTTTCAAATTAGTTATGTATAATCTACAAGATGTGTGTGGTATAGTTAGTGGATGCTGGTTAGGACTTATTGATATATGAGATTAGTGCCCGATGAGACCAGTGATTAGTACATTAGTCCATATAATGGCAAAACTCATACTAATACCTTGGCATGGATACGCGGTCCGGCAGCTAGAACGCAGCAAAAGATTACAGAAGAGGTGTGTGTACCATTGTGTGTGTCTATGTCTAGGTGTGTCAATAATACCTTCAGATCGTTGCGTGCCAAATATATAATGCGCCTCATATCGTGTATAGCCTGATAAACATGCTGATACGTAGCGCTCTCACACTTCAGTATAATGGCGCGCACGTCAATGAATTCGTGCTGGCAACGTTCAAAGAAGTACGGATACTGGAAATAAGAAAAAGTCAAATTAAATTGTGTATGAAAATTTCTAAATCTATATGTGCGGGTAAATAGCTATTCAAGAAAAAGAAAGAGATACGAGCTCGAAGAATAACAGAATAAAAAACATAATAGTTAAAAGTTTGAGCTGAAGGCCTGGATATGTGATATCTCCACCCATTTCCATCATAATTGTATATACAAATCTTGAGCTTTGGTAATTACGCTCTGAAAATTACAAAACGATCGGACAATATGCACCGAAGTTAATCGTATATAGAGAGACAACAAAATGTGGAGCTTTACCAGAATATTTCAGTTTTGTGATATTTTCAGCCTTCGTATTTACGCCTTGACAATTTCGAAAAAGATCGGACAACATGCACCGAGCTTAATCGTAAAGGAAGAAGAAGCACAGCCGCAGGGTTGACTGCGTGTGTGTGTGTGTATAGAAATAAACTAGAATGCGCGTAACGGCAGCTGGGTATAGGGTATCTGCTAGTCGTACTCTTGTTGAAAAAGTATTAAAAAAGGGGATTCTTAGTGCTATAATATGCAAAATTTGGAACGTATAGACTCACATAGTTGCGTGTGAACTGCTTTTGGAAGAATCGATCGATGTTCTGCAGCTGCATGATGCGGTTGCTCAGATCGTAGAGTCGGCGCGACATCTCGCGACCCACAAGGGTCAGGGGTGTTGTGTAGGGCTTGCCATCATTGTGGCGACACTGCGTGGTCTTCAGCTTGGGCGTGGGACACTTCAGCACCGACCTGAGCTGCTCAAGCGGCGGCTGTGGCTGACCTGCCGCCCGGCCGTTGGTCGACTGAGCGCTGCATTTCCAGATATTGGAGAAGTTCTGGCCTATTGACGACGGCGGCGGCGATGAATGATCCAATGCATTGGCATCCTTCTTGAGGGGCGTATAGGTGCCTGTCTTTAAATAGGTGCCATTGGCATTGACACAGCGCTGCGCCTCCTCCGAGTCCTGGATCATTGTGTACAAATAATTCAAATCCGATTTCGATCTGCCATCCATGGCAGTTGGCTCCGCCTGCAGCTGCGGCTCACTGAAGCTATGGGCCAAATGCTGTTCGCCAACCTGGTCGCTCTTCATGCTATTGTACGGTGTGCTAAAGGCGCCGGGACCACGCCCATTGTCCAGAGCCAGATGCACGGTAGCCGGCGCCATGGGCAGAACTATATCGGAGCCATTTAGGGTCTTGTTGCTGGAGTTTGAATCGCTGCTGTTGCCGTTGCTGCTCCAATTGTTGTTGTTGTTGATGGTGTTGTTGTTGTTGATGATGTAGTGGTTGTTGTTGTTGTTGTTGCTGCTGCTAATGTCCAGCTTGCAGAAGCTGTTCTTCTGCTTCTGCAGCATACCGTCAAGATTGACAAACGACTTGATTATCATCTCGACGAGCGTCAATGTGCTAATCTGCCAGCTATCGAAGGCGGCCATAAAGCCGCCGGGCAGCTCATCCTTGATCTTATTCAACCCATCGGGCGTATTGTACACATAACCCTTGAGTATCACCCACGAGTTGACAATGCGCGTGAATACAAATATGAAATCCTTCACGGCCCAGGCAATGCCCTGCGAATTGATATTGGGCAGGACACCGTCCGGTCGCAGCAGATCCTGCTTGAGCCGGGCGCACAGTGTGTCCATCTTCTTGAAGCACGGACGCTGACGATGCGCATTGGCCAGCCGTTCGGCAATGTCGCTGCCCTTAAGCGAGATCCGCGTGATGTCCTGCAAGCGCTGTATGGGCAATATTACCTCCGAGTTGCGACGCTCGCCTTGCTGAATGCTCGGGTATCCGTAGCTCTCAAACGAGCTGCGACTGTTCGACGACTCCTTGCTGCTGTAAAAGATTCGAGATATATATGGCATTAGCTAGCTGCACATCTGAAGGAGGTAGGAGGAATAGAGAATAGAAAACCTGGCTCAAGGAGCTAGCGTGCTTTTGAGGAAGCTCAACTAGCTAGCGTCTGAGCTGATCAGAAACTAGGGTTAAGCTGCCAGGAAATATATCAATTTTTGTTGATAACTATCCATGGATGAGAAAGTTATCCCAGAGGCCTAGGCTGACTGGAACCTTAGTCATCCTTCCGTTTTCTCCGGAAATCCTACTTTGAAGAACTCTCAGAACTCTTTGAGAGAGTCTCCGCTGGCGAACCAGACATTCAAACCTATTCCTAGTCCCCCCTCGAATACACCCACAGGATCAGCCGCACTTACCTGTCACTCAAATTGGCCAGATATTTATATTTGGACATGGGCGGCGCATCGCCAATAAGATCCGTCTGGGTGGTCGCATCGCAGCTGCGCCGGACGCACGTGCGCGTCTGGCAGGCGTTGTCCTTGGTGTGCTGCTGATGATGCGGACGCGCATGTGTCGCATGATAATGGGGGGGCACATACATGCCGCCCACATTGGCCGATGCCGTGGAGTGCTGCATGTACATTTGGCCGTATGCATTCATGGAAGCTGCAACATTCGAGGCGGCGCTGCATCAATAGAGAACTCGCCCAAAAAGCAGTATTAGCATGGACTTACCCGAGCTGGCTGCGTAGTACTGTACGCCCGGCATGGACATGTATGTGAAACGTCCGTGCATCGATGGATGCGGCTGCGGCGGTGGCGGTGCCGCCGGATGATGATGATGATGATGCGGCTGTGATGCTGAGTTTCCGCCCATAAATGGTCCGCGTCCGGTTTGTATGAATACGGGTGCACGCACCGGCACCGGCGGTGTGCTCATCGACCAGGAGCTCTGCGAGACATGCTCCTGCACAAATACATCGGTTACGGCCATCCGGGTGCGATCCACATAGGTGTGCTGCTGATACATTGATTGCTGGCACAACGATTCCACGGCCATGGCGGGCATATGGAATACGGGTGCATTGTAGCCGCTATTCATGGTGCCGTGTCAACACACTTTCAATTTTATTTAAAAAAAAAAAAAAAAACAGAATGTGGGCACTAGCACTAATTGCAAAAAAATGAAAATTCGAAAATTTGTAGGTTAGCTTTTCTGTCAGATGTTTGCAATTAATTTTCTATCAAACTGTACATTGTCAATTTTGGCAATGGGGCTGCATGCCAACTGTCAATTATTAACTAAATATCGAGCCCTCGTACAGCAAGAAAAGCTATTGACTGATCACAGAATATGGAGATTTTTGTTAAAGCAATTGCTCACCTGCAAGTCAAGCTGAACAGAATTTAAGCAACGGGCAACAACAACAGCAGCAACGACCCGAAAGCGACGGCGCGCCGTACATATTTCCGATAGGTAGGAAGTGTGCAAATATCGGCTTAGCGATGAATGTACATCTGCTTATCGATAGCCTAACTGATTTCTTTCGTAATTGCCTTTTGAACCAATTCTGAACTCTATAAAATAAATATATAGATTCTTTACCAAAATAAATACGATTTGTTTTTCACAGCGCAAATTTAGTTATTTTTAGAATACGCTGCCTGACTTGTCAATGTGAATGTCAGATAACGCATATGTGCAATCTACTGGCACGTACTTGCTCTAACGTCTTTTTGCACATTCAAAATCATGCTTATGATACGGTGTATAAGAATAACTGCATTGTACGAGCTTTTCAAATGTCCTTCAAAACAACAGTTAAAATGAATAACATTTTCGTTGGTGTGCTTCGAACTAGTCTGTTTTCAAATAAACGAGTTTACTTCAATAAATTAGTTTCAATTTGAAATTGGCGGCAACGCAATGAGATGTGCAGAACGATACGATTGTCAAACTATCGTATGCAATATTAATTCGATAATTCTTCAAGTAGTCTATAGTGAATGCAATGTATATCGCTATAGCATATGATTTGCGCAGCTGACTTGCAATGCATTAACTAATATTTTTTCTATTTTAAACCACTTTTTGGATAGCTCGACACGATAAAGTTTATTCCAATAAATTGTTTTTGGTGCTGAAATAAAATAGTATCGCTCGTAATAGCTTTCAGTTATGAATAACAGCACGCTGTTAATAGCAGCGTAGTTAATGTTAAAATTCTATCGCTGCTGTTATGGCCACTGATAGAAGAAGAAGACGAATTTGATAAAGCCGAAAAAAACAAAAATAATCCAAACAAAATTGTTTAAAATGACAGACGAAGCTAATTTTGCGGAACAAATAGTTAATGATAAAAACAAAACAAATGTGCGCTGTCAGTTTTGCAACAGTCTGATGCTAAAAGCCAAAGAGGGCACCTACGCTGAGCAGCAAGTATGACAAATGCAAATTGTTTGACTAAAATGCCCGCATAAAACAAAAAAAAAAAAACAAAAAAAAAATGCCTTTCCAGATAGACGTGCCGCTGATGATGCAAAAGAAAGACAGCAAAGCCGATGCGCTCAACACGGAGGCACTGCATCATTTCTGGCTGGTCGAGGACATGATGTCATTCGAGAACATCGGCTTCTCGCACACCGTCGACGGCCGCAAGTTTCTCGTCTGCGCCGACTGCGAACGTGGTCCGGTCGGCTACCATGAGCTCGCCAGCAAGCGCTGTTACCTGGCCCTGAAGCGTGTGGTGCATGCGGACGCCTAAGTGGGCACTGGTAACAATCGGAGGGGTCCTATTCTAGCAAAGACATGCACTGCCAGTGCGGCAAGCCAACGCGTTAGCCCAATATTAAATTGCTTTTATTATACTCTGTTCACATGGCGCACAACGAGCATATTGGCTTTGCGTCCTCACGTCTGTCTGTCCGTCCGTAAAGACTCGCAAATTCAAATATATGCGCTTTAGCTAAACTGTTCCGATTATGCTGAATGCGCCTAATAAGAGACGCATCTATTGTATAAATCTGTATCCTTTATAGTTTCGTAGCCACAGTTCATAAAATTGGTAGGTAGATCCTCCAACATAGAGAATAGAATATATAATAGAATATAAGTTTTAAGATTTAAGTTAAAGACTCGCAAACTAAAATTTATATGCTAGAGTGTATCCGCCTAAGCTAAACTGTTCCGATTGTTCTGAATGCGACTTCACAGTCTTGTAGCCGCAGCTCATAAAATTGGTAGATAGATCCTATTAGATCTAAAACAAAGGTTTTAGGATTTTCTAAATCGAGAAAGTCTATATTCTTCACAGCTCTTAACCCGCTTCTTAGTTAAAAAACATGCCATGTCCAGGCAATATTTGACAGTTTAGGAGTTACTGTCTACAGTTTTGGAGCCACCATAGCTATCGGCTTGTGTGTCTGCGAACAGAGTATTGGCTAGTCGGCTGCAGCCGACTCTCGTAATTGTAAGTGTAAAGTGAAAAGTGGTTCACGTCAAGACAAAAAGAAACAATTTTTATGATTTAAGCTAATTTGCCCAACCGTAGATAAAAAAAAATGAAATATATACATGTATATTTTTTGTATTAATATTTATTGTTTTTCGTTTAAACATTTTTAAAAGTTTTATTGCATTATAAATATTGCATTTAAGAGGAGTTTCTTAACTAAAACACTTGTCACACTATTTCAATTTGTTGTCCTTTGCAAAATGTGGCTTACAATTTGAACTAAAATTTGTTTATTTTTATGGCTCCGGTTTCTACAACAATTCTTGTGTTTAATTCTACAGCATGTGGGGGACACATTGATTTGCCTCCGCTCCGATTCTTCTGCCTCTGCCTCTGCCTGAGTTCCATGCTAGCACTCTTCTACTTGGATGTTCTTCATGCTCCAAAGATTTTCGTGTACTCGTTCACAAGGTAATACAAAAGGGGTATATTGGGTTAGTGTATAGACTTGAAACTTGTTGGATATACTCGTGCATATTTGCGTCAGACAAAGTGGTACAATTTTGGGGGCCACGCCCACTTGGAGGCGGGCCAGCTGTTGCAGTGTGAAGGAACTAATTTGGCCTGAATCCTATTAAAGATGGCCGTCAAAAATGTTTGCCACGCCCACTGCCAACGCCTTAAATCGTTATCGTTTATAAATTCCAGACTAAAGGAAAATAGTTTTTCATGCGCCCGCTAGGGGCGTGGCAAATGAGAAAAAAAGGCTATATTTGGCGGCATTGAACTGTGAACGAGTATCTGTCAGTCGGTTACACCCGACTGCAAAGTATTTGCGTTTGTTTTTCTGTTCCGTTTGGCAGTTGTTTAGAGTTTTTTTTTATTTATTTATTTTTTTTGAGTGCATGAGGCGTGGTGTCCTTGAAGCGGGCTTAGCTTAGCCTAAGGGATTTGATTTGGGGCGTGGCAATTTTCATTTTTATTTGATTTCAATTGGACTAAGAGTTCGTTTAATTTATGCAATTTGTTTAGTTGTCTTTGTTTTTGTTGTTAGCTTTTCTTTTTTAGAAAAAGTTCTTATGAAAATAAAAAAAGGGCAACTCAGACAAAAGTGTTAACATTTATTTTATATGTATGTACTACGGTTTCTTTAATTTGTTTAAAATTTCTTTTCTTTAAATATTTATATTTATAGCCTTAGTTATAACAATTTTATATTTATTTAATCAATCGCTTTTATTAGTGGGACTTTGAATACTTATTTTTCATGAACTGCGGTAGGTTTTTTAAAAATTGATTTTTAATACTTTTGTTTCAGAATTCTTGTTATTTAAATTTTTATTGTTATTGTTATTATTTTCCTTTTCTTTTTTTTTTTTTTTATATACAATCAAAGAGTTTTCATAATAAAGCTTTTGCCGTAGGACATTGAGATATAGGAAAAAAGAAAATATTGGCTGGAGCCGAGCTGCAAGAGAATTTCGTTTAGCTGAGATTTGGATGAGGTTTTCCGGCCTGGATGCTTACCCGAGATTGTAGCAGCTGCGGCGATGAAAATTGCTGAGACGGCTGGGAAAATGGCACAGAACTTAGGATTTTCAAGGGAAAAACAAACGACGACATGTGGGAAAAACAAAACGAAACACAAACTGAAGCGTCGCCCAATCCGAAACGATTGACACCTAACGCTGCAACCAGTTGCAGGCGCCCACAAGGAGGCCCACGGTGGCCAGCAGTCCGAGGCCCGAGACGCCGCGCAGCGCTGCGGCGCCATTGCAGTTGTCCGTATCACAGGAGCAGACCACCTGGCGGCCACCGAAGCCGGCACGGCTATAGCAATAATTGGTCGATGTTTGATTCTGGAAGCCGCAGGTGCGTATCACACGGCTATCTGGCGGCACTGCAATCAATAAATATATATATCAACAAATATATGAATATTTTCAATATTCAATATTTTGTGGCAAACTCACGGCTGTTCACGGAGAACTCAATGATCTGTGTGATCTTGCGACAATAGGTGGGTATGCCCTTGCCGCGCGTCGAGTAATCCTCCTGGCAGTCCTTCAGCAGATTATCTGGCGGTATATCCAGCGCACAGTTGGCATCCTTATGGCTGTTGCACACAAAACACTTGATGGCAGCGCCTGCAAAACCAATCAGCCAACACAATTTAATTAGCTGCGTTTTAAAATGGATGGAGAAGAGGGTATTTTTTGTGCAAATGTATGAGACGGGCAGAGGGAAGCATTTCCGACCCCATATATATATATAAGTATATATATTCTTGATCAGCATCAATAGTGTCGTGTCGATCTACTCATGTCCGAGTGCCTGTCCGTCCGCCCGTCCGTCTTTCCCTCCCTTCCTCTATCCGTTCGTCCCTCCGTCCTTCCGTCCGTCTCTCTGTTCGTCCCTTAGTTTCGTTCTTCGTCCGTCCTTCTTACTTACTTTACTTAAAATCAAACTGAAGCATTTGCTTTTTCTTAAATATATAAAAGAGGTTGTAGTTCAAACTAACATGCGAGAGGTTGCCAGTTCTAATTTCATATTATTATTATATTTGTTTAAAATGAAATTGATCGAAATAACTGACTAATGTGATCTGGGAAAATGGGGTATACGAATTTGTATAGAGGCGAGTCGCTGGTTCGAATCGCTGGTTCAAATCACGAACGCAACTAGCCTTGAACCTAGAGATAATCCTGTCGCCACAATCTTACTCTTAATTGACCGCAAAGCAGCCGCATTTAGTTAATCAGAAAAGTTTTCCATACACAAATATATACTCAAGCTCGCATACGCCTAACCTTAATTGTTTAACAAAAAAGAGAGAGAGAGAGAGGGAGAGCAAAAAAAAAATGGGTAAACAAATATTAGAGGCTGCATTGAGCTGGAATTTAGATTGAGACGTTGACTTAGCTAAATTGAATTTAAGGTCGAGTTTCGCATTATTTCATCTTATGCCATACGCAAATATGATATACAATATCTGGACACGTCTTATTATGCAATTGCGGTGCGCTTTTGCCTCACACTGTGCCAAAAATGGCACATTACATGGCCCTCTCCCCCCGATGACCCCAAGTCGAGAGATGCGCCTCCTCCATTAGTGCCTGCTCGTTAGGCTCTTGAGAGCCAGTCGCTAATTAGAACCAATCTCCGTCTCCGCCAGCTTCATCAGTTTGTGTTAATGGACTTCAATAACTTGTACATATTTTGTTTCTGTCTCTCAATACTCCCCACAACCCCCGAATGGGTTGCATAAGTGCCGGACAGCATTGTTTTCGCCGCCCCTCCTCCTGTTTTTCTTTAAGTCCTTTTTGGTCTGGCGAACAATGCACCTCATATAAGACAACGTAGCCCAACACAACCCCAGCCCCAGCCCCTGCCTAAGTCGGCCGGAGAAGTGCCTTTTATGTCTCCTACTTCTAAGTATATTCAGTATATTCATCTTGCCTAACGGCATGCAAAATATAGTTTAGTAGGGTATACTATATATACGAGGAAGTATCAGGAAATGCTTTGCCATCTCAATATATTTAGGGGAATGCATTACGTAGAATCTTTTGTGCGCATTGCTCTGAGTTAAATTTAATTTGCATACGAATTCATTTGAAAGCAATATAGCTGTAACTTACAATGAACGACTACTAGATACCCTGTATGCATAAAAACAAAAACAATAATTTAAAAATTACTTAAAGAAACTTCTCGAGATGAAGATTTTACTATTAAGAAAGACTTTTCCTGCATTAAGAAAGTCTTAACTTAAAATTCAATATTTTGGGAAACTATAAAAAAACATAAAAATTAAGTTTTTAAATAAGGTATTTTAACCTTATTTAGAAAACTTGTCCTTAAGATGGAAAACTTGAAGCGTTGTTCAAGTTTCTTTAGATACTTAAATAAATACATTCTGTTTAAGAATTAACTTTTTGTGGTTGGATTTAACATATTCTTATGTTTACAGGGTATACAAAGGCTTGAGCGAAAGTGATAGTTGTTCGGAACGTAAAGATTGAGCATACAATAAAATATATAATTAATAGATTCTTAATGTTATAGATATAAAGAATCTTCTGATTGCTTCAATTTTGTATAATTCCATTTCCATGATGTCTATTGGAAACGCTCTGCTTGCGATATAATATAGTCTATCATTGTTTATTAAAGCCAATTAATATTGAGATATTGATTGTGTTCGCTGTAAATTGACAGAGCTAAAAAATCCGTCTATAGTACTTGCATATATATATACTATATCTATAGTATGTTTGTATACTTTAGATATATCTGAGTTCCTTACGTCTAGTTTACAGCTGGAAATAATATAATCGTTATTTTGTATTTAATATTTTATATAAGTGCGTCGTTTGACTAGAGGATGGTTTGGGGGGTTTAGTGGGGGTTCGTGGGGGGGGGGGGGTGGCGGTGGGTTGGGTTGGGGGGTCTGGTTGCAATTGGATCCAGGCCTGCTAACCGAGTTACGGCCAGGGCATACCATATAGAGAGCATGAGTGCGCATGTCCTGCGTTCCCATACACACACTTACTCACGCACGCAAGCACTCACTCACTTGAGCACACACTCACACACATACATGCGTAAATATGCACACACTCACGCACACACTCACGCACACACTCGTGCACATTTCACCCAGTTAGGTTCAGGAAGGAAAAGACATATTGCGCTGCGCCTGGTTAGATATCTCTTTTATGATATATGCTAAGCGTAAAATGCAATAATGAGCTACGGATAAGCAATTTAACAACTACAGTGAAGACTCTACTAACGAACAGCTGCCTTAAATAATACTATTAATAATAATAATGAATAATAATATTAATAATACTATTACATAAAGTTTGATATCGTAAGCGAACATCTGTCCAAGCAGCTGAAACAGGTTTGGTATGTCCGCTCAGGCGAGCTTTCACTGTAGTTGTATAGGAGAGCCCAGTCATAATGGGAACACTGGGAATGGGCGTACACTGTAAGGGTCTAGGGGAAACTGCAATTGTCACTCTGCCAGCTGGGTTCTGGCTCTGTCTGAAAGGATTTCTGGCCAAAAAGGCGCCATTGCGACCGGCTTCCAA